TTGTCAATTCTGATTGCCTAATACCAGAACAGCAAAGATTTAGATCTAAAATTTAACCTGAATGGAATAGGAGTGTTATTTATTTCCTTGATGTAGCCTTTTTTTGTTAAGGAAGGTAAGATAGAAACAAAATGTTTTTTTGTTTTTTAATTGATGGAAATAGCTAAGTGCATCAGCAAAGTAATCATCATTCACCTTGGCTCAATGGAATAGCCAGAAGTCAGATGACCAGATTGAGGCGTAACTGCTTAGACACACAGGATTTTAGAACACAGATGCATTTTAATAAAAACGAATTAGTTCAAAAGGGATATAATAGAAACAATATTGAAAAGAAGATTAAACAAGCAGAATAGAATTAATCTCCTTTGAGATAAAATGAGAAAAAACTACAAATAACACTTTTAAAGTTTATTTTTTTACTAAATATAATAAGGATCACAAACAGATCAAAACAAGTCTAAATACATTTTTGCCAATTTTACTTGAGGATCCATGTTTAGGAGGCTTATTGCCGGGGAAACCTCCAATAGTTTACAGAAGAGCACAAAATTTCAAAAGTACGTTGGCACCTAGTTATTTTAAAGGTGTCGGGGGGGAGGGGGGGAGGGGGATTACCAAGAAAAAAAAAATAGGCAATGGAAAAGACTATAAGTGATGCTAAAATTGCAAAGCCTGCTGAACTATCAATTTAACCTTAACACTAGAATTTATGAGTATAGTTACAGAAGGAAGATTTCTCATTAAACCCACCATAGATTGCCACATGGATTTTGCGATATATTTGCTACAGTGTCCATGCAGCAAACAACATATATGAAGGACAAAAAGGCAACTGAAAGTAAGGGTGCTAGAGCACATTAACAAAATTAGAAAATAAATATATACTTATGATGGTGGAGCGCCTTATGTCATCTCTTATCTGACAGAGAATAACTTCTGATTGAAGACTCAGAATCACATAAAAAAATAAGAAATATACAATAGTAAGATCTAAATTACAATAGTAGAAGAAGTGGGAAAGATAAAAATACATAAAGATATATGCCTATGCAAGAAATACACCCAATATTATTAAAATGGTGGTTTATAGATGTAGAAAATATAAAATCTAAATAAAAAATACAAAATATAGCATCAGTAATTAAACAAGTACATTGATTTTGGTCAGAGCATAAATTAATTCTTCTATTGAAAACTTCAATTTTTACAAAATTGCTACTGAGCATAAATTTATTCTTCTTTTTAAAACTTCAATATTTACAAAATTATTAGAAAAAGTTTGACCACCCATTCAGTTCCTGCGCATTGCAACCTGTGTTCTTCCTTTAGCTGGAAAGGTTTCAGATGCATAAGTTTAGAACATGTGCATGTCCGCTGGAGGAGGGAAGGCAGGATCAGACAGCTGTCCCAGAGGGAAACATCCTGGATACACAGTTTGGGTACACTGGAGCCGAGGGGGTCAAACATAAATATTGATGTAAAATGCTTTCTCTAAATTATTTTGAATAATATTTTTTATGTAACATGAATTTCTCTTTTTCTCCGAAGAGATTTGTTGTGGAAAGAGGCAGGACTTGGGAATACAAGATATATGGATTTTATGTGCACTATAATTTTTATTATATTATTTTTAAATTTTTATTTCTTTTTATTCATTTTTTATTTTCTGTTTTTTATTATTTATTTAAAATTTTTACTCATTTATTTTTTTAATCTTATTTTTATATATGATCATTAATCTATTTTTGTTTTCAATTTTCATTTTTTTATTTATCATTTATTTCTTATACATATTATTTTCACATTTATTTTTTTTGTCTTTTCAGTATTTTTTGTGGTTATTATTATTTATAATTTTTTTGATACATATGCATATATTTTGCATGTATATGTATGTTGCTGTATATAACATGCTTATATATTGTTTAACATTATATTGCAAGGATCTGCAATATCATGGCGACTGGAATGCACAAAAAACGTATATTAGCGATCACATGACTGCGAGTACAGGAACTTTGGATGAACACAAAAGAAGATTACACTGGAATGCATATCAGTGTTCCTAGAAGATATATTATATATTATTAGGTATTTTGAGTTTGGCTGTGGACCGAAAGAGCATCCTAAATGGAAAACAAAGAAAGAAGACAACACTCCAACAGAACCATCAATGACTTGAGGGATAAGCCCTATTTAAAGGACATTTGGGAGGGGGGAGGTAAGCTGCATTTTCACCTAAGGGTGTTTGCTTTATGGTTTTATTATATTCACTGAGGAAGTCCACTGGGGGGAAAAGTGGGGGCAAAAGTGGTCAAGAAAATGATAGCCCCACCAACCTTAACCAGGGGAGGCACCCAAAAGTGGTATAATATTATGCACCTATTTTTTTTTTCACATGTGTGTATATATATATATATATATATATATATATATATATATATATATAGATAGTACAATTAGTATTTTTTTTAAACTACCTTCCTCAGTCCATCCTCTTTTTACATCACTTTCTGATCTGTATTCTACTTTAGATATTTTCTTATATACCCACAGTCTCCAATCCCAATATTGCCCATTCTGGTGTCTCTTCTAGCTTCTCCTAATGCATCCTCTTATCTCTATGTTCTTTTATCTTCTTCTTTATTTCTATAATATCTTACCTGCTTTCTTCCTCCCAAAGCATTTCTCTGAATTCTCCCTCATCTCACTAGCTTAATTCAACTATGTCCCCTTTTTCCTCTTCTCTATTGCATCTCTTGCCTGTCACATGCTTAGACCCTTTGTCCATCCTCTTTTTCTATCTTAAGATTACTAAGGGGTATTCGGTTGAGATGCCTTTGTTTAGCTTTTTCCCCTGTATGGACTATACCTGTGGACTTACAAAGTCTGCTTTCATACGGACCAATTGATTAAATTGCATTGATTGAATGACATTTTCCTGAAACAGAGACCTCTAATAGTGGGAGTTCAATGCTATATAAAGAAGCAGATGGCTTTAAGCCCTGTGCGATCTTAATATGGGTACGATAACTAAGGAGTGGCCATTCACCAGAGGGTTTCCTCCAGGAAACTGGAAGAGGAGTGTTGTAATGGAACTGTTATGATGTACTACACATACAAAGTGGCTCTGATTGGGGAGAGTTGTGTGCTGGTAGCTAACGGGTTGGATGGGAGGAATTCAGCTTCTAACGATTCTCGTTGTAGATATGATCAGTGCCTGAAGGGTGTGGTATTGTACCATATACATTGTCATTAACATGTTTTGTTAGTTTATGATGTAGTGTTCTTGGAGATTTTGCACAATGTTAGATAAGATTGGAGAACATTGACTAATTATATATTTTTTTATTTGGTATTATTTCCAGACTCAAACACACTTCTGTAAAATAAAAACATTTGTTTATCAATAGTTATTCAGCTTCTGAGACACTAGAAAAAAATAGATTAGCTAAAACCCTGGAGCAGCATTTACAAAGATGGAGAGTTCGGGGGTCCAATTAATTCTGTTTTATTTTTTTCCATGTATAATTTTTATTGAAGATTTTAATGGCTAACAAAACATTACACATGACATAGAGATACTGCAATACTTTCACATGAACCCACTGGTATTGACACCAACATGTATTATTATATTTATTTACTTTTCACTGCTTTGCTCTGGTGTGTTCTGCAACACTAAAGTGTAGCCGTTCATACGGTATCATCGTTCAACATCTTAGTCCAATACAGTGTATTAGAGTATTAGAGCTTAGACAAGTTCAGTGTCGTGCCCAGTTGCACTTCCCTCCTGGGAGAATGCACTGCAACGTGTACCTCTCATAACACACAAACCAAAGGGGGAATGGAAAGGGAGTAAAAAGAGATAAACATAAAAGACAAGAGATAAGAGAGAGGGAGATGAGCTGAGTTAAAGCCCCCCTATCAAATATGCCCTTTAGATATATCATATTTGTAGCAATCTAGGCAACATCCCAGAATGTCAACACATACGGTAATATATCACTCTTATCTTACCTGGCCTTACACCCCATAACAATATGACGATGCTGCACTGGCCTCCTCCTTGCCTCCCTCGGAGCACCCGATCTTGGGCCTCCTTTCTTCGCACCCTACACACCATGCACATCAAGGTATTCCAGCACCCATTCCACTTTGCGTTGTTTAATTATTTATATATTTATTGTATATATTTATATTTATATATATATATATATATTTATATATATATATATATAAAACAAAAATGTAAACTTGGCACTCACCCTTTGTGAACTGTCAAAATATTCTTGCCTGGGTGCCCACCTCTGGCGTTGATATATATAAAAAATATAAACAAGGTGCACTCACAGGTCTTCTTAAATGCGTGATAAGTTTATTCCAGCGTGCAAATTATTAATGCCACAATTTGATGATGATCAACGTTTCGACCCATACAAGGGTCTTTTTCAAGATCAAAAATATCGTGTATACAGTGAGTTTATATAGAAACATAATAATAAGAACTTACCAATAAGGTGTGCAGTGAGAACGATAGCCGTCCGAAACCCGGAAGTGAGACTGAAACACCACGTGAGGGACGTGATGACGCATAACAATGCGTCGCTACTAAGCAACCAAATACACAATATAGGGCTTACGATCGGCTGTATTAGACAATGAAGATGTGCATGTAATGTGTTCACTCTGTGTAGTGAATAATGAACGTGTTGTTAATGCTAATCTGGAGGATGTTATAAATGGTAACAATATTGCACACATTTACAAGAAAGGTCCTACTGTGAAAGAAATACACAGTGCACCAAAGTCAGTGAATGAAAAACGTGAAAAATATGTGAAATACATATATACAATGTGAACAAGGAGGTCCTGCCCAGAAAAATGTGCTGCGCAATTTTTCAATATACATAACAGGCTATTATATGTCATATGTTAATAACTCATATAGACAATATGTCTACTATATTCAACTGCAGACATCGAGCTATAAAATCCAAAAATTGAAAAAGATGCAGAGCATGTACAAAATAATGTACACCACGGTATATCTCAAATACTACTAGGTGATATTACAATAATAATATTATTTTGTACATGCTCTGCATCTTTTTCAATTTTTGGATTTTATAGCTCTTGATGTCTGCAGTTGAATATAGTAGACATATTGTTTATATGAGTTATTAACATATGGCATATAATAGCCTGTTATGTATATTGAAAAATTGCGCAGCACATTTTTCTGGGCAGGACCTCCTTGTTCACATTGTATATATGTATTTCACATATTTTTCACGTTTTTCATTCACTGACTTTGGTGCACTGTGTATTTCTTTCACAGTAGGACCTTTCTTGTAAATGTGCGCAATATTGTTACCATTTATAACATCCTCCAGATTAGCATTAACAACACGTTCATTATTCACTACACAGAGTGAACACATTACATGCACATCTTCATTGTCTAATACAGCCGATCGTAAGCCCTATATTGTGTATTTGGTTGCTTAGTAACGACGCATTGTTATGCGTCATCACGTCCCTCACGTGGTGTTTCAGTCTCACTTCCGGGTTTCGGACGGCTATCGTTCTCACTGCACACCTTATTGGTAAGTTCTTATTATTATGTTTCTATATAAACTCACTGTATACACGATATTTTTGATCTTGAAAAAGACCCTTGTATGGGTCGAAACGTTGATCATCATCAAATTGTGGCATTAATAATTTGCACGCTGGAATAAACTTATCACGCATTTAAGAAGACCTGTGAGTGCACCTTGTTTATATTTTTTATATATATATGTATATATATATATATAAAAACATTAGTATTATTCTCTCACCCAATGCCTTTTGGCCATTTTTAACATATATCTTTAGGCACTATCCAACTGTTCACATATATCTATCTGTATTTATATTATTTAATTTATTTTTTCATTCATTTTGTCTTTCTCCCCTGCAAGTTAATTTGTGGTTCTTTTTTGGTAGGCCAGCCATCTGGACCTCATACACACATGCATATCCTCCTTGCCTGCCAACCTATGTGACATTTCCTCATAAATATGTGTTTTAGTGATCCTAGTGAGCACCATCTCTATCGATGGGGTTTCTTTTAGTTTCCACTGACATCCAATA